TCCCTAGTAAAACAGATAGCACTGAATAAGTTGCGTTGGCTCGGGCACGTGCTACGCATGCCTGGTCACCGCTTACCTAGGAGGGCCTTGTTCAGTCTACCAGGTGTAGGATGGCGCAGGGCTCGAGATGGACAGAAGTTGACTTGGCAGCGGGAAATGAAGTCACTGACAACTAAACTGGGTGCCGTTGGTCCGTCTCGCCTTCCGGGTTGGAGTCCACGTGACTCACCTTGTGCTTGGCTCGAGACTTTACAGGACATGGCTCGCAACCGACACCAGTGGCGCGTCTGCTGCCGTCTCCTAATCGGATTGTCTGTTTAATGCGTGTCTGGTGCTGAGTTATCTGCGGGGTAATGGCTGATTATGACGCGTGGCAGTGAAAGCCGCAAGGAAGCTGTCTCGCCGATGCCGCCTTATCTTTGCACGATAGCCAGCTGTTTGTGACGGAATGTTGTCTACACAAGGTGTAGGCGCCTTGACCCTGAATGTTCGTTTAGGGCATTAAGGTTTTCAGGTGTCCTTCTTCTCTCCCTCTTCTTATTCTTTATTTCATAGGTGCTCACGGTTGTATGTTAGCGAAGCATCAGTTCAAATGGCTGATGTATTGCTGTTGATGATGATGAGCTGTGTTCACCCGTCGTTCAATTTGCGCCGTCACCACATTGCCTTTGAAGGGTAGCTGTAACTAGACGGGTATTTTGGGTACAGTAAGAACTCTTGGTTTGTTTTCTTTCAGGTGACTGTGAAATCTAATGAATGCCTCTGGATATCCATTGGTCCGTAATGTCTGTGTGAAGAAGGATAATTCCGAATCCACACAGTCAGCACTGCATATTCTACGGACACAATCGAACAACGTCTTGACAAGGCAACGTTTGTATTGCACCGGCGCAAAGCTATTGAAATTCTCATACAGGCCTGTCCATATAGCTTACCTGAAAACAGCGTTTTATTGAGCCATCGTCTCGTCTTGTCAACAATACACACGGAAAAGCAGGACAATTGTCATCTTCTAGCTTACAGGTGAAACGGGCGTTGGGATGTGCATTGTTGAGGGCACTGAGAAGAGACTAAACATTCTCTACACTTGGGGCAATCGCCAAGGTATCATCCATATATCGCCTGGATAGGCACATCTGGTTTAGGTAGGATTCACACCTCGATTCGGCCATTGCCATAAGTATAACAGCCAGCAGTGGGCTAAGCGGACTCCCCTAGACACACCATCTACCTGTCGATTAACTTGTCCATTGAATAAGAAGTGCACATTTTCTGTACACAATACCAGTAAATCCCCGAGATATTCCAATGGAATTTGCAAGGCCACTTTTTATTCGTGATGAATTTGCACAAGAAATCCACCGTTTCTTTTAATGGGAGGTTGGTGTACAAAGATTATAGGTCCATAGGACACAACCTTGTCGGCAATATTCACACCCTACACACAATGAATGAGGTCAAAAGTGATTTTCACGGTGTAGGTCGTTATCATTTGTCTCACTGGTGCAAGCATATCGACTAGCCAAGGTGCCAACTTGTGGTATGGGGAGGTATATATGGTGTGTTAGCCTTGTGGATCTTTGGCAGGCCGTAAATTTGTGGGGTACATGTACCCATGGGCTTAAGGGAATTGTACCCCCTTTCTGATATCATACCGTGCTGAAGTAAGAACTTCGGTCGATTGGTCACCCAGTGCTCGTCTTCTTATCGTTATGTTAAGATCTGCTATTTTGCCAACTTAAGGCCTGGAAGCGGAAAGTGTGAGAACGGGAACTATGTTAGCAGGACATGGACAAGACGAGTCTGCAATGAACAAATGTTGAATTTAAGTGTTGAGAAGCAATGGCAATGGATCATCTACCAATGACATGATCACGACAAGAACATCGTTTCTCGTGGGCAACAGATATGAATACTGCATCCGGAAGAAAAAAGCCGGTTACGGAAGCCATAGACGCCAATGGGGACTGGCCCATCGACGCCAACCAAATAGTGCAGTAGCATATGTGCTCGTGTGTGCTTCAGCCAACCAAGTCTGGTAAGTCATGAAGGTTGCGATGTGGAGCCAATATCGGAGAGACAACGAGTAAGTTGAAAAGATATCAGGGCTTGGTAACTGAGTTGTTTCCGATACCATTTACTAGCCCAGGCCAATAATGCGATGTGGTGTACGTATGGTGCATCATCGCTGCACTCGGTCAGTACGTGTGCTTGCGCGTTGGATTTTTTGCATTTACGGTGTTGGCTGATGATTGATATCCCTGATGTGGATGGGCATGATGTGAATGTTGACAAGGTGCCTGCTGTCTAACACCCTCCACTTCGATTACCGGCTCCAGGAGACTGCCAATCATTGCCCCATCGACAATGACAGAGTAGCTCCAGCTAGGTGGAAAGTTGATTGCTCCCACAATTGCACTAACAGACTGTGTAAATAATCTATAAGAGTAGGTCTTCCGAATTCGAAGAGAGAGAAATTCCTTTGGTCCCGTGGTCTTAGTCCTTTTCAGCAGCCGACCTCAGGTTTTGCTTCTATGTGAGAGAGCGGATCTAACGGGACGGCAATCATCAGCCAGCGAGGATTTAGATTAAACAGACGGACCTTGTAGAAGGGACCATCTTTGAACAGCCTGCAAAGGAGGAATTTAGTTTTAATCCGAACTGTGAATAGTAACCCAAGGAGCCGTGTAATGGCCTACTGGAAACTGTCCCTTGATACTACTACCGCACGTCGGGGCTAATTTAAGTCCATAATATACATAATTTAGCGGCTGAAATATCCATGAATACAACTGTTTTGCCTTGTTCCGTTTCTTTTAGAGTGGGTTCGAAATGACTGAATGTCAAAGTTGGAGTACGGGGACGACATAACTTTCAAAGTTGGACTTGGAGTGCCTACCATGTGGCTGGGGTTGGTAATGGGGTGTCAGTGTTACGAGGAACACCACTGAAACATCGTAATTTCAAATACGGTTATTGTGCTTCGAATGATTGAGGTTTACTTAAAAGTGTACTGAGGTCTCAATAGAGATTGCGTGTCGCAATTCAACCATACGGCGGGTGCTCCAAATCCAACTTTGAACTCCTTACCGCTGTGCCAAGCGTTGCTCACGGATCGTAGAGGCATAATGATCAAGGCATCAACCTAGAACCACTAGGCACTGAGTTCCATCCCAGCTCAAGCTGACTTCATCTGATGAGTCCAAACGATGACGAAACCGGCTATGGGGTGTCAGTGTTGGGAGCAGCAACACCGAAACAGGACATAACTTATTTTGAGCTACGATTAGTTACAGTGTAAGCGTTAATGAAATCGATGACATGTAGCATATACTGCCTGTATGCGCTCGTCATCTCTAAAGTGCAAAACACTGGTTTGAGTCTAAATACTGGTACACCATGGGTTCTATCATCAATCAATCATAGGAACTTGTCAACCGGTTCACTTAACCGAGTAGCTGTACGCTGTCTGGTACTGCACGTATTGCAAAGCTTCGCGTGGCTCTCCAAACCCTCATATCCACACTCGCCCTGTAAAGTATTGAGCGAATTTACCGTGTACAGCATAGTGAAAGCATGGATCAATGTCGTGGGTAGTACACACTGAAGAGACTGGTAAACCATGTTTGCGAAGTATTACTCATAGTTGGGCAAGCATCAAAAGGTGAAATCAGCAGCTCTCACAATTTGTGTATCGCATTGCGTTGTTTGTTCCAATTCAGTTTATTTCATGTCTTTTGTTTATCTGCTCATGGAATACTTTTTTAAGCATTTTCTGGCTCCACACCTTCGAGCAACATTGTTGGTGTTACTTCTAGTTATGTGAAACCCTGATGGCACCAGTCGAGGACGTGTCTTTCGGGTTGGGATCGCTGAGAACCTCAGTAGTAACGAGTTGCCAGGACCGTTTACCATACATTAGTATTGTTTCAGAGACGTAATTCAAGGTAAAATGATCACCTGAGCTCAGACTTATGTATCATAGCTTGTCAGCTAAGCTAGTGATTTATTCTCACAATCTCAATCACATAAGGCAACGGACAGGCCGGACGTTGTGCTGTGAAGCGGTTATGCACAAAGATCACCGAAAACACTAAGCATCTCTTTCTTGGTCGCTTGGCCGAAATTAGCATTTCCTAATTCTTGTTAGACCAACTGAGATACATCGAGGTCTGTGGCTGCCTTAGAGTGTTGTTGCGACTGGCTGTATGAAACTTGATGACGACCAGTCACTTTGATGATAAAAAGGTATCAAGAAGCCGACCGAAAAACTCAGGTAAGCGTGTACAATTTACCTTATTGAATGCGAATCCTTGGATTGATCATATCTGTGGTTTAGACCTTATCCAATATGTTGCAGCCGAGAAGTCGATAACACGGATGCACATGGTTACTTTTTCAATGGCTAAACGTTAGATTCATTCGTTTGTTTGACGATCATTTACGCTTGCTTCATCACTGCTCTACCGTTGTTAGCGGCACAAGTCACAAAGGCTGGGTTCAGAGTACTTTGATAAATTCGCATCGGCAGTGGTCTTTCATGGGCCATCCGTTTTAGTGGAACAGGGTCTGTAGTGTGGCAGTCAGTTCAAGCGTCGTACTCGGGTTCCACTTCCTACCGATGCCTGGGTTCACTAGTCATCATAATATCCCAGCCTGAGGACAACCGCTTGCGGTTAGATGACAGCGGTGGACCAGTGCAGGGATTATGATGCCGGCATCAAATCAGCAAAAATGCAGCTGACTAGCAATCGCTGACAACACAGATTATGTTTCAAAATGGACACGTAAAAGATACGTAATCTGGTATCATACATGTTTAACTGTGCAGGTCGATGCTAACTAGTAAACAAGTGGACAGCAAAACATCATTGATGCAGCTTTCGGAGCCAAAAGTGTCAGAAGGTACGTAGTCCACGAAGTGAAATGAGACCTTTTTCGAGCCGAAAAACAATCCGAGAGTGATTACCATGAGACAAAGGTTATGCACTAAAACTTACGTTTTGGACAGTAGACTGGGTAAAGTTCGTTCTTGAATCATTGAGGGGCGATAAAAGCCCATGGAATAAATGCCCTTCAGGAGGGGAAGAGGTCTGAAACAAAGTAACTTTAAGGTTACAGGAACGTATACAGTGGCATTTCTTGAAAGGTTTTAGCGGAATGCAGGGGATGAGTAGGATCTAGTCTCAGAATCTCCAGATCCATGTCATGAGTATCAATTAGTGTTGGATTGAGTATCTTGTTGATGCGGGAAATAACAGATCGAGAAAAAGCTGTACGAAAGTTAGCAAAATTGACTAACGTTTCTCTGGGGAAGAATCCGTCCGTTCCTGAAAGTCGTTGTAACTTCGGTCATTATAGTTGACTTCTGCGAGGGGTTTCCTTTGTTGCATTGTAGATGAACAAGAAAACCTAAAAGGTCAGTTAGATTACATGTGATCGAATACGAACAAGTGACAACTAGATAAACTCTGGCATGTAAAGTCAGACGCTTAAGCTTGGCGTAGATACAACAAAGTAAAGGAATGAACCTCCAGTGAAGCAAAGTAGACAAAGAGAAAGCAAACAGATTGAAGCTGGAGTGGAAAGATCACAACGGTAAATACGAAGGCGAATTCACGAAACCCTTTCAGTTAGTTGAGTACGAAGTTAGAACCCCTTGGATTTATAGGGAAATGTATAACCAAACCCATCTATGAGTCTTTTCGTGAAATGCTCCCAAGGTTTTGGTTAAAAGGTTCGAGATTTATTCCGACCGAATTTATCGCAGGAGCACAGACTTCGAGAATGGGTAGATAACTTATACGAAAGAAGTGGGTTAGGCAAGGAGAGTGAAAACATGTGACCGTTCCGCTGGAACATCGGGCCAAATGTTTAAAACCGGTGAACAGATACACTGTTCCGAATAGATCATAGCATGTAACCCTGGGACCTCGTGCCACAAGCGCTCGAACCTTGACAACAACGTAGTGTGTCTGAATTGAATAGTCTAAGGAAGCACCATGTTCAAACGTTCGACCAGCTTGTCATTGCAATTTGTAGAGCTGTTGTCTACTACATTTCACTTGGTTATCGTGGAGCTTTTAGCCCACTTTCACGCCCCTGCTTAGCCAGTTAGGACAAACTGTGACAATTCGATCCCAGTTCCTCAAAAGCATTGCGGTTGTAAATGCTGAGGAAGGACGGTGCTTGACCGTTGGTCGAGCGCAGCGAAATTCCTTGTATAGTGAAGGGTCGAAGAGGCTAGATACAAGTAATAAGTTAGCTCAGTAAATAGTGGGTCTCTATTGCGTCCATGATGATGCTGGGAGGATTCGTAAACGATTCTAAGCCGAGTTCTGTACATCATAATTTTGTCCATAGCGAATTCTTACCATTCTTCGGTGATGGAAAGCCTCATCGCTTCCGTTAAGTATGTAGGCCGGCACCGAAGCACGCAGGAAAATCTGAAGATGTCCACGGTTTGTATGAGTCCACTGTATAAAATTCTAACTCAAGCTACCATCTTAATGTACACTGAGGCGGCGCGGAAAGTTAAACCGCAAGTTGGGTTCGACTGCTTGGACTAAACAACGCGTTTGGTGCTGTTCTTTTATGGCTAGGACAAAGGGTACTTCTTACTGTACAAAATAAAAGCTTTCCTGCATCGATCTATCACTTTGTTCAATGGCAGTAAGTATTATGTTCTCGGTGTCTGTCAATCAAACATATTGTCAACAAAATAAAAGGTGAGAAGATAAAGAAGCGATGTTGGAAGATATCTCTCTGGCTAGGAGAATAAACAGAGTTTTAACGTAGCACGATGCAAAAGAATAAGTGTAATAGTCCAGAATAGAATCAGTGACGAGATGAAATGGACGAAAGAATAGTTGTAGTTAGTGAACATAAATGTTAACAAAAGACGGGTTTGTTTAGAGGTATCTATCAACCTATCCCAAATGACCGCATTAACGAGGAGAAGGGTTGGGGTAGCACACAGCCGCAGTTACAGGCGAAAACGTATTGATTTCCACGGTCATTTAGGTGGCGTGCAATGGTTAAAGTAGGAGATAATTAGACACACTAAAGTGAAGAAAAACAAGAATCTGGAGAAATGCTGTGTTGCTCTACCTCATCACTGCATTCAACGACCCATTTCTCTCTTATTTGGGCTCATCAGCTTGAGACAGCCTGATCTGGGAGTGAAATTTGGCACTTAGTAGTTGGCGGCTATCGCTGTGAACACTAGACCGCGAGCAGCGCTTGAAAAGCCGTAAGAAATCAATCGTCGCATTTTGGAGCACCCACCGTGCGACATCGGTTAATCTTGAAGTCAGCCGCCGCCACTTAGAAAAGTGAAGGGAATACGGTCTGATTATCATGATAGACGTTTGTTGCAGGTGGAAAACACCTCAACTATTGTGTCGTAATACAAAAAATAAACATGAAACAGAGGCACGCCGGCCGGTAACGGATGAATATCGTTCCGGAGAGATAACAGCCCGCAAATGTGCCGCAGAAAAGGAGTTCTATTATGTCCAATAAAACGAGATCGTGATTGATGAAGAAGGGACAAATAAACAACGGTGACCGAATTTTTCAGTGAGGTAAGCACGCACCGTTTTAGCAGAATGTGCAGGTGCACCATCCTGTTGCCACCAAGTGGTACTACATGCACCTTCGGCTTCCAACTGTGGAAGCACAAAGGTCTGCGGCATTTCCAAGTACGATGATGATCAAAAAAGATAAGGCTTTAGTACTTCAAAACAACAACTTACCAGTCACATTCCCGGAAAATAACTATGGGCACAAGATTTCCTGGCTTGTTAATCTAGCCCAAACCATAAGTTTAACACTGTGGTGCATAGGTGATGCGGCATATCTTCGTGGGTTACTGGTGGCCCAAGAATACTGTTTCACTGTTCCATGCAGGCGAAAGTGCCTCATCTGTAAAGATGACAGAATGAACGTCTCCGTGATCCAGTAACCAGTGGTAAAATTCATGCCACTTCTCCGGATCGTAGCGGTTCAAATGTGCACTTTAAGTAACTTGAATTTTCGACATTTTCGTTTCGGTGTACTGCGTATCGGGTCATGTCACTGTGCTGTGTGATCCGACGAATCCTGCGACCGGGACTTTTCGATACTTCACTGATTACAACGCAAGCTGAGACAGTGATTCAATGACAGTGACACGGCTTGCGTTCGCTAATATCGCTTTCACGTAATCCGAAACACCCGGTTCGCCGAGATACCATCACGTGCGCACATTCACGCCGCAATAGTGATAAGCGGGTTTCTGGTTGACTAGGCCGACTTGACTTGGTAGCTGGCTGTTTCGCTTTGGCCAGCCAGACACACTGATAGGCATCGACCGCTCCAGTGCCTACGGTTGGTCATGATCTTCAGCACTCAGTGCGTCGTAAGCTGACAGTTAACGATCGCCGAAAGCGTAATGTGATTGTCTGTACCCATCTCGCTCGACCAAGAAAAAAGGCTAATATGGCCTGCCGGTCTGCCCCTGAACACCGTCGCAACGAAACTGGACTTTAATGTGGTGCGACGGTTTGCGTACTTCTTTGATTCACTGAGTTATACTGGTTGGTACCTCCGGACCTCTTGAGAGCTACTCCTACCCGGTTGGTAAGTGGTGAGAGGTCAGAATAGCTCAGTGTCCTGGTCTTCAAGGTTGGGAGTTTGAAATGAATGGCGTCCATTTCAGCATTGTCCCCTCCTCGCTGCCTTGCGGACAGGCTTTTGAACCAAAGGCTTTGGTAGAGGACTGTAATCTTCCTGCTGTTTAGGTCTGGGCGAACTGGCAGTATCTCAGCCCACATACAACCATGACTATTTTTCAGACATAAACTTCATCTTGCATTGGCCGTCGCGCAGATTATCAAGCGTCGCCTTATCTGATGCATACAGCAAGGCGGATAAATAAAAATATGTTATTGCTGGCGCCTCCCTTCTTTCTTTTTCACCTTTTTCTCTTAATCCCATCCCGACCCCCATTACTAACCTTCCTTCTATAAGTCCCAGTTTAATTGACAGCAACCGAAGTGCCACTGGAGTAGAGCCACCTGCAGTCACCTTCCCACAACACCCATCGGACGCGTATCGGCAACAGTCCCTTATAAGGCCACTCTGTGCAGTTTCCATGGCGACGTTCAAGGTTCGTACTCGCACGCACCTTGGACACACTGGGTATTGAGGTGTGCTGTGTCCGTAAGTAGGATCAATGACCCTAACGGGGCTGTTGAATCAACTGCACCCGGCTCATTCTCTCGTTTTTGACTGCACGCATCCGGAGACGCTGATGCAGCACTCACGGAGCAAGGTGGTGTAGGTATCATACAAAACCTAAAGGCTGAAGCATCGTCGGTAGAGTGGATTCCGGTGAACAGCCGTTTGTGTGCAACCCGTTTGACGACATCAGCTAAAGTGAATTCGCGAAGTAGTACAAAACGCTGTTTGTTTGTAATTTACGCTTATGCTCCCACCGACTGCAGTTCAAATGTTGTCAAAGACACATTCCATCACGAACTGGACGCGCTGCTACGCAGCGCCACTAGTTCAGATAGTATAGTACTCATGGGGGATATGAACGCACAAGTAGGACGTGTGAGTTCCTCAGAAGCCCAGCTGGGTGGTAATTATGGTCTTAACTCCGAAAGAACTGACAACGGCGAACGTCTGCTGCAAATGTGTGTGAAGCATCCGCTGTTTCTTAGTAGCACTGCTTTTAGATACAATGAGCGTCAAAGTGCCACTAGGCGTCTTCCTGCAGCTGGCCAGCGATGGACCCAAAGTGACCACATTGCCATGAGTTATTAGGTGGCGTGGTTCCAACCTGGATTGTCGCTCGTACTGAAATAATCTCGGCAGAAGATCTGAAAGCTATTTTGCATCAAAAGCAGCGGCAGTTCGAAGCCTCGCAGCTGCGTATGATCGAAACTTCCACTCAAACACTGTCACTTCAGTATACGGGCATCTCTTCGAAGGGAAAGCAGACGCTGCTTCAGGTCCAGCAGTCAATGTTTGAGGAATCACGGCGGTACTTGACAGAGATGCTGACATAGAAGTTGAATATTCAGGCAGAATGTGATCTGAAACCAGAACGCATATCAGAGCACATTGCAGGTGAATGTCACAAGCAGCTCAACTCGAGATTAGACACCAAAAGATTGAAAATTCAAACGTCAGAGGTGAATTCCAGATCCGTCACACACCTAATGGATGCTACAATGTGAATCAAAAGGTGTCGAAGCAGAAGCCCCCCACTGCCATTATTGCCGCATTCCGTAGGGATCGAAGCGCACCGAGAGGCCCTTTGTCGCTAGACACAGAAAGTACCTGCGAACGGAGATGCAAGGGTCTGCAACTCTGTGCAACTGTCCAGATATACAAACAAATAGCCCCCAAAATAGTGGCCA